AACCTGAGCTCAACACTTCCGCCACGGGCCTTTCAAAATAAGATGGTTTAAAGCCTCTTAAAAATATGTGCTAAATATCAGCCACACCGTTTAGCTTTAATGAAAACTATTTTACCATATTTACGATAGAGATACTTTATTTATTTATTTTAGCTGGAATATTTTATTATTGTAATTAAAAATCAAATTAAAATGAAGAAATAATAGTTTAAATAAGTCGTTTCTTGTAGATTAGGAAAATAAAACAAAATATCAACAGACTAAAACAAATAATAATAGCTTTGTTGAAATTAATATTTTTGTTATGTTATGTAATTTTGTTTTCTAATTTTGTATTAAAAGTTATACTTATTTTACTTTATTGCATTTATTTTTGATAAACATGGACACAACTATGTTTATCACTGTTTACAACAGCCTGCAAATGTATGTGAAGGGAGAAGACTGGCTGCTGGACTTTTATGAGGGGAATGTTTTCCATTCCCTCTTTAGTCTGTGTTTTAGTTGTGGCAGATTCTCAAACACAAACGTACTCAGAGAGCGCAACTCTCCGAAGGGCAAGGGCTATACTAAACTTTGATGTTCTATGATGTTTTTAATACAATACAGTGACATTATGGCATCATTGTGATGCCCTGGGGTGTTTTTTTTTTTATTGTTTTTTCTCTTTATGCCCTTTTCAATGATATTGATTTTTTTTTTTCAAGGTTAACTTTGATTCAGGTTTTTACAATGAAGGTCAAGGTCAAAAGCTTCGCCAACCTGGGTACTCATGTCCACCAAAGCCTACAATATTGTTGTGAACTGATCAATAGAAAACTGTGGGTAATATAAGATTGTTACTGATTTTCATATTTGCCGTGACCTTGACCCGATTTTCATCCAAACTAAATCCCTTCCAGCTGTTTTTGGTACCTACCTTCACACAAACTTTAGATTGCTAACAACAGACAAATGAAACAGATTATATATCAAAAGCATGAGGTCAGGCAGGAATCTCTGCGGAATATGATGTTTGCAGATGACGTTGTGAAAGTAGGGAGCAGGCGGAAGTCAGCCTGGAAAGTCAGTCAAATGAAGACAGCCAACCATCCAAAGCAGCTAACAGTGCACAAGATGGGTGAAGAAGAAAGTGCGGGCAAGGTGGAGTGGCTGGAGACGAGTTTCAGGGGTGATTCAGCAAGAGTGAATGGAAAGGTTGAGGATGGTGGTGAGACCTGCTGTGATGTTTGGATTGGAGACAAAGTGGGGGAGGCCAACCTAGAGATGTTATGATTTTTCAGAGGGACAGCTCAGGCCGGAGACAAAGTCAGAGAGACGAGGCTGAGAAGGTTTGAACATGTGCAGAGGATGGAGAGTGAAGATAATGGATAGCTGGAACTGCCAGGAAAGAGGAAAAGAGGATGACCACAGAGAGGATTCATGGATGTATTGATGGGTTGTGCAGACAGCGCATCTGGTCCTGCAGCGTGTTTGCGCTGGTCCAGTCGACTGCCATCTTTCCCGGTAGGGCACAAGCGTCGAAGGCGTTTGGAAAGGGAGGGGGATCAGTGTGTGCATATCAGTGTATGTGTGTGTGTCCAGAGTTCAGCTGAGACAGTGTCCTTCGCCCCGCCAGGCTAAGTAAACAGTCTTCCAGCCAACCCAGGTGGCCTTGCATGGAATGGGGGGAACAGTCTAAACACAGTCGTTATCAGGGTGTTTTGTTCAGCTCCAGCCTTGAGGCCACAGCTGGCGTTAATGAAAATCATTAACCTTTCCCTTTAGTTAAAAGCTTTGCAGATTTGAAAGTTTTTGTGGTTCTGATGCTGCTATAATCCAGAAGTCAGTGGTTTAAAAATCTCCATCAAAATCATTTTCATGCTGAAGGCTGAAAACCCCAACAGGAAGTTTGAATCTGTTTTAACCTCCTACGATCTGCTGTCCACACATGTGGACATGACATTTTGGGTTGCCAAACCAAAATACTAAATTTTGCTTAACAAGGGCCTGATATCCACTTACAAGGACACTGCCACTGTTCTATCAAAATTTGTCCTCGTATGTGGATCTCATTTTTCTCGGAAACAAAAATCAGGTAAAAATTCTTTTACATTCATCAGGTCCAATCAGCCCAAACATCAAAGAGAAAATAAAAATGCATGCTATGAAAGAGCTCGGGTCTTAGGAGGTTAAATAATGCAGAAGCTGATTCTGGGGTCAGGAACAAAATCAAAAAAAGATCCATCCAGTTTTTGCAGGTGATTTTTAATTTCAGTGCAGCATCAAGTCAACACACAGTGAGATATAATGATAAAGAAAAGCGTCCGCGTTAAGCCCTACACTAGATCGTTTTCATATGAAGGTCAAAGACTAAACATCTCAAACATGTCCCTCACTTCCTTAATGATTCAGTTTTCCATTCACTAGTTTATTTATCCGGCTCACTGACACGAATGGCTTGATGAAGTTTATTATTCGTTTTCAGCAGTTTTCCATGCACCACATTTACAATGATATATTCCACCAAGCTGCAGTGTCACAGAGTTTAAGTAAGATTAGAATAAACATTATATCCTTTATGTCTACTTCATACACGAGGGGACCCGGGGGACCCTCTGACGACGCGTTTCAGCACAATCTGGAGGAGCAGTGAGCAAACGTGGAGGGAGGGAAGCTGATGAGAAAAATCAATGCGCTGGAGGTCGTTGGGGGTGACGGGGAAATGCTTTCCTCCCCTCTGTGTGGTGCTCTGGAGACGCAGAAGAGGCCTCGGTTCCCACAACAAACCACGCTGTAGTGTGTCTGCACAGGCTTACACTGCAATGCATGCCAAAATAATAAATGATCTTATTTATCCAGTAAAAAAACTGTTCATGACACCAAGGATGTGTCTTCTGCAACATTTCTGGAAATTTAGGTGGTTTGTTTTTGTATAAAGACGATCTATGTTGTAATAAATGGTACTGAAGATTACACCAGTATCTTCTCTAAGGACCTAAAAACCTAAACCATAAATAAATAAATAAATAAATAGATAAATACATTAAATCAACAATAAAAAAAAAAAGATAAAATTAACAATAAAGATTTAAGGAACTTGGAAAGAAAGCGATTACCGTGACTTAAAGGCTAAAGCTTTTCTGTAGCTCAAATTCCTTAAAATGTCCATAAATATGAGTTTGGTTATTGAGTTTTTTACCTGTTGATATGAACACTAACATTTCTGGACAGTGGTTAACCTTTACTTTCAGGTTATCTCCTGTTGTGTGTGAGCTAAAGGGCAAAAACGCCTCCTCAGGGACTGTTTGTGGTTCTCCTCCTTGTGGAAGCAGGCCTTTAAAATCAGCTGAAAGTGGACGTGCCCGAGGGTGACGGGGAGGATGCTGACTGCACAGAGGTTTAAGGCCTCAGAGGTGATGAGCTGCGAGGTGGTGAAAGCTGTTCTGAATCGGTGAGGTATATTTGACTCGGGGACGTGGGCTGGAGATTTAAGCGTCTTCAGAGCGGTGTAACAAACATACAACTACTGTAAGTGCACACTATAAACTGCAGCTTGCGTGGTTACAGTCAGTGCCAGACAAATACACAACACGCTGTCTCAATATCCCCCCGCCCGCACATTAAATTACAAGACATGTAGCATTTTCCCCACAGAAGGGTCGCATTTTTTCCTCGTGTTTGATTGTTGCTAGTCCTCAAATCGGTCCGTCGGTCCAGTGATGAGCGGCAGAGAAACAACAGCTAAAGGCTACGGGTCGACAGCGGGTTCATCGTTTCAGTTTCTGATGGTTTTCTACAGCAGAGCAGGTCAGAGGTGGGATAAACACACGGGAACCCACAACCACGGCCGTAAAACAGCTCGGCAAGCTGAGGATGCTACACACAGATTCACACAACAGCATCAGTCTCACGGCTCTCCTCCAGATCATCTGCTACGGAGCCGCTTCCTGTCCCCACCGTGACCGCCTCAAACATCTATTTACAACGGTTTCAAGAGCAGAGATGACAGATTAAAGCGGGCGAGTTATGTTTGGCGGCAGTGCAGCTGGGAAATACTGGATTCAGGCGTGGAGGGGAAGTAGCTCCAAGTTTTACAGCACAAAGTTTGAATTTGTTTGGGTTTTAGATGAATAAACTGTGACCTAAACTTCACTCTGTAACATAATATTCACATATATATAAATATATCACATTACCTGCATGATTAGGTCAAACTGTGTTTCTCAGAGCTGTAATTGCCCACCTGCACTGCCCTAAAATGTGGCCAGAAGCTTAACAGTGATGCGCGTGTGTGGTTTGGTAATACAGATGAGAAATCAGGTGTTCAGCAGTCGTTTCCTGTGGAGATGATGACTGCTGTTCTGGTCTCTTGGTCTGTTTCTCCTGGCTCCTGTTTTTAGCTGCCGGCCTCCTGAAAAAGGTCCTAAAAGAGAGATAAGAGACATTTAAGAACTTCAGTATGGCAAATAACACATTCTGAAAACAAATACTTTATGTATATATATTTATATTTATATTGTTTTTTCCTGTCCGTAAGTAAAGTTTTGGGTTCAACATAACCAAAAGCCGGATTCTTTTAGTTCAACAAGCACATATTAAACCCAACACTTTAAAACAAAAATGTTATTTTCATACAGAAGAAAGCAGGCGTGCTTAGAGGGCCGAAAGCACGGCAGCACAATGGTGTGTTTCACTGTATTTAAAAGCATGAGATTCAGGTCCTGCAGTGTCTTCTTAGCTCGAAAGTTTGATTACATAACAGAAGAGTAATCACTCATATCATGGTGCTTTTCGTACAGTCCTTTTTTCTGTACTGTTATCACAATTGCGTAAAAAGTGTGTGAGAGACCTTTATTAAAACGTCTAATCAACAGATTTACATGTCAGTCTCATCCACCACCTGTTCATCTTACAACAGAGACAAAACTGTTTAATTAAGAACAAAAACCGAAGCTGTTTGTCTGCAGATAAACTGCTGGTTTAATCTGTCATATTGTTACATTTGTCAGATTTCTTGTAAACTTTGCTGCACGCTGACAGCAGCCATCCTCTCTGTCTGTTTAGCAGAGACACCTGCAGCATCCAGGGAGGAGCCTGAAGGCTCAAAGTCAGCTAGAACCACTTTACAGCACGAAATAATTATTTTGTATTTGTACAAAAACATGTTGTGTTTATGTTATGAATGGATGACTTCTAAATATAACAGCACTTGTGTACACAGTCCAGATGTTTACAGGCCTCTGTATTAGCCTTCAGCCTATAGGTCGCCTTCTTGGCCAAACCTTCTCATTTTTAGCTAATATCTTCTGAACCTGGGATGACTATATCAGAAATAATCCTCTCCATGGTATTATATCGTCTAAAACTGAGTATTTGCCTTTTTATTGGATGGAGTAGAGCAGTGAAGACAGACAGAACAGTCGGGGGGGGGTCTGTTACCTGGCTACTGGATGTCCAGCTTGCTCGGGCCGACGCTGTGGATGAGCTGGGACGACTCGGAGGCGGCGCTGTAGCCGTGAATCAGCAGGTTCTTGTTGAGGTCTCCGACCCCGCTTCCAGCCTGCATTTTGGGGTAAGGCTGCACCTCTGCAGCCTGCTGCTGCCCTCGCCCCGGGGCGTCATCGTCCATCAGGTGCCCCAGCGGGCAGCCGTCTGTTCCCTCGGTGACGGGCGAGAACTCGTGCGCGCTCGCTTGCTCATCCCTGGACACTGGACTGATGGAGACAGATGGAGAGCTTAAAGGAACAACGATGACAGAGACACAACATTTAGTTTATTAGAGCGTCTCGACAGGCAGCGTCAGTATTTAATGAGCAGTATTTGATCTCACA